TGTTGATGAATATATAAATTGTTATTGACATAGTACAAAACTACTGTTAAGTATATAAAAAAGTACTTACAGTATGCATTAATTCTTTGCGCACGACTCCTTATTTGCCTAATGTCCGCTGAAATCAATGCCACAGGTGGCACACTTCTTTTTTTCAACGTCAGGTTTAATGTATCATTATTAGATGAAGGTGCTTGTAAAGCATTAGCAGTACTAAGATTAGTTACTATATGTGGTGTCGAATTAACGTTAGAAAACGAAGGCGGTGCTTCAACAGACAAAGTCTTAGGAGAATCATGAGTTTCTAAATCTGATTCGGGGACATCAACGTTTGAATAACTATCAAGGATGGACGACGACTGGGAATACAGTAATTCTTTAAGGCGGTTTATCGGGTCAAGAAGACTTTCACCTTTGAATTCTGTTAATTCACAATCTTCAGCTAACGCTAAACTTTGTTCATCCATCTCTGATCCATTAGAATTTTGATTAGTATCATTTTATGATCTATCCTATAGTATTATACCTAATTTATAAATGTATCGCAGTATTGTATTGGCATTGGTTGATTTTTATCATAAAATTTTAAATAAGCACAAATAAGCAACCCGTGATTTTCACACTCTAAAAGGACTCGCAGATCAAATTAAACGCGAATTACTTTTATAAGTCATCGTTTAGCCATGGAAACTATTAAGGGGCATATTGCGAATCGTGATTACGCCGGACTTGTAAATTTCTGCGAAGAGTTAGAACCACAAGTAATTTTATTATTGCTTTTGAGTTTTTGTTAAGTAAAAGCCACACGAATTCACCGGAATGCTTTTTTAAAATGTTCTTAAGCTTGCCCTTACACAGAATAATACCATAAGTTTAGAGGACTTTTATGGCACATTTATGCTTGGTTATCTACTTGAACAGGACCTGTAAATAACTTGATTTTTTTTAAATAACTTGATTTTAACATATATATATATATTTGTTCGGCTTCACTTTTATTTAACACAGCTCATTTTATAATAGGCCATCGGCGAGGTTTCTCTGGAAACGGTTGGGAGATAATATTAAAGGGAGTTCAAAGGAATTACGGTTAATTTGGGATGTTGGTATTGCGCTATGGCAGAGAGATTATGATAACATGTATAAGCTCATAGATTCAAAAACATGGAGTCCTGTAATAGCACCTTTGATGGAACAGCTTTGTGGTAAGTGCTAATACTGTAGGTGTAAAAGATCTTTTAGATTTATCGGTATACTAAATATCAAATCTTCATAGAAAACCTACGAGAACGTATGCTTATTCTTTTATCAGAGTCTTATTCCTCTATTACGATTGATGATGTAAGCAAATATCTTGGTCTGCCCCGTGAGAAAGTTTTGTCGGGTATGATTTTTCCATCTTTTATATAAGGGGTTCGGCTAAAACTGTAGAGTAAAAAATGACAATTTTTTAATTTAGTTACGAACGAACGTGGATGGACCGTTGACCTTTCAACAGATATGCTGCAACCAAAAAAAATCGGTAAATCACTTTGTACTTAATAATTTTATATAAAGAATTTACATTTTTCTTACATTTTCTGTTATCTGACACTTTAGTTCAAGAAGCTCCACAATCTATATCTCTTGCAAATTTCTCTCAACTTACCGATTTGGTCATTCACTTAGAAAAATCTTAGTTCTCGATATCAAATTGCAGTCGACTCTCTTTATACCGAACCCTGTATATAACGGACTGAAAGGTTCAGAACATTTATTTACCGATTTTATATAATAAATTTGATATACTACATCGGAACCTAATTGAATCAAGTATATTAGAATCTTATTTATGTAAGGCCATATAAATCTTAGAGTCACGTATTATACTAACTTAATAAAAAAGTTTGCGGCTATATCAAAAAAAAAAGACCTGATCACGTTTTTGACATCTCCGAAATCTCAAATTTTATAATTTTAACAATTTAATATCTTGACTGATTTTATCAACATATTCTTAAAATTCGGTACCGTAAAGTGCCATATAAGGTACCCGTGATTGGCACCCCTTCTATTTTTACTCCCCTGTATTTACGTTGATTTTACATAGATACAAATCAATAGCTGACTTAATAGTAAAGAAAAAAAATTTTCTAACGAGCAAATACAGGGGGATGCAAGATAGGTACCCGGATACCTTACATGGCACTTTACGGTAACTGTAAATTATCAGTTTCGGCAACAGGAATATCGCATTTGCAAACACGTAATTTGAATAATTAATTTAACCGAATGCGAATAATAATTTTGTAACTAACTCTTATCAAATTACGTGTCCGCACATGGGCACCTAGTTGGCAGCGCTTATTGGTCAAATGAGATGATATATCTCACCTTTATATGTAAATTTATGAAATAAAGTACATCATTTTGTTCCATAAGTGCCTGAGGCATCCACTCACGTGGATAAAAAAAATTGATCGATACTTTTTCGGGCTGATAATGGACCAAAATTATCCGAATGGCAGCTAAATTAAACGATTAATACGGCTAGATGGCTAAATGATTAGAAGTTTTGATTCACCAAAAATAGGATATAATTGATTAAAGACAAATACGTATTATGTGTACAAACAATTATAAAAAAGCTAATTAAAATATAATATTAATAATATAACATTAAAGCCAAAATACAGTCAAGTGCATCTTCGCTTGTATGATATTTAAGTGCATCGTTCATTTTATGCCATAATTTCACTTCATTAACATCTTTTTTATGCTTAGTACAAATTAGACGAGAAACATAAATTCATACAATTTTTTTCAATTCATCTCTATAAACATGATATTCTACTTGCACTAACCAAACTTTGCCTTTCGGTATAAAAAAAAAATAAATTAGTTGGTTGATACTAACTCATCTAACATAAAATAAAGTTTATCGAACTTACGTGCTAAGAAAAGCATATTTTTTAATCAGGGCTTTTTTTGCGTGGCGCGAATGAGGGGATATTACATCCGTTACATAGGTTCCCTTACTCTGGGTGCTCGCAAACTTTGTGTTAAAGGCCGTATTCCAAATATTGTTTAAGGAATCGAGAATATCTTCTGTAATATTTGCTAGATTCCCCTCATTTTCCTTCCAAATATTATTATAGGAAAGCTTTCATGATAAACCTTCCATACCATATTATGAAAACTTTTCATATAGTACACATAACAGCATGTAAGAAAGACGCAGTGAACCAGGCGTCTTGTTTTGTATCACTTGACCAATTAAAAGAGTTTTGACTCGAACTACTTGTGATGTAAGCTGTCTAAGTTGGAGAATCTCTCCTTTGATTTCTAAAATTTTTGTTAAAGTTAGATTTCTATTATTTCTGAACTCATACCCCTGTTAGTTTTATCATTTTTCTCCTTCCACGGTGAATTTGATACTTCTCCACGTATCGCTGCATCTTATTGAACAGCTTCATAAATGAATTTTTTGGTATTTTTTCCAGTTTTGACTAAATCAGATTTGACACTTATTATCTGACTAGCAAGTGGGTTCTCGATTAAAATTCTAGAGCGTGTTCAAAAGAACTTTGCTAAAAAAGTGATTGAAATATGAATTTCTTTGGTAAATATTTAACAGTAACATAATTAGTGTATCATACCTACTAAAAGTTTTTATTTTCAAAGTCATCTTTTTTAGCAATTTCTTGATTGTTAAGATGTCTTTTTAATTTTACCATTTTAACATTGTTGATACTACGAACTTCTTCAAAGGCATCATTAAACTAACACAAAAAAGAAGATATATTAAAGTTATATACTGTATATTTAGCTTAATATCATAGTAGGATAATTTTGTATCATCAGAATACTGTATCATAATAGGATAATTTTAAGCTATAGTATATATAGTCTATTAACACTATATATATTATATTATACTATAAATTTGAAGTTAAATTTATTTGTTAAAATAATTATTTTTTATTATTAAAAACCAAAGTTTACTGTATATAACATTTTATGCTAAAAACTTTTTATTATTGAAGACGGATTATCATAACCGGTAATAATCATCTGTAGTGATTCTTTTTTGTAAAATTTAAAAAAAGGTTTGTTATAAATTTCTTTATACATACTAAACTAGAAAATAGAATAATCAAATTAAAGTCCGTACAAACGCAAACATGTTTCTACTAAAATGTTCTTCGGACAATTAGCACAAAGAAATATCCTTCGGACAATAAATAACATTGCTATAAGCAGCATAGTAAAAAATTATTATTCTACGTACTGTACGTACGTAAATTTTAATCAATTAACCAAATTTCTTTTTATAAATAAATTCGTCATAAAATCTTATGTATGTACGTATGTACATACATTGTAACCTTATTTTAAAAAAAAAATGCCTAATAAAAAATTCAGAATACGTGATTGTTTTTTCACCATTTTTGATCGTTTAAAGATTAAATTGATATTTGTTTGCACAGGCTAGAGCTTGAATTTAATAATGTATATTACGAAATTGCTTAGCGCGTTCCATGAGCTTGCTTTTGTTCATAATAATTGAGATAAAATCAGGAGTAATTATGATTACATAGTAAAAATTGGAAAACATTCAGGAAATTTACTAATGAATTAGTCATTTAACCGACTTTGATCAAGCGTTACTCGATCAGACGGACTTTTAAGTGATCTTGATTTTCCATAAATGGCTACTAATCTCATTTTCTCTATTTTCTCTTTGTGATGGTTGTGATGATTAACTAAACAAATATAGGGAGATATCGATAGCCATTTGTTTATCTATTTCCTTATTTTTCATATTCTTCTCACGAGTCAACAATAAGCCATCTGATTGACGCATACAGGTATAAAACCCCTTTTTCTTTGACCGACCACCAACACGACTATTTTTTTGCTCCGAAGGTTTAGAATTACGAAATATATCACTTTAGGATCAAGTAAAAAAAAAACGTGTCAGGCTTCTGATAACCGTTTATTATTGCACAGGGAACGTAATGTCGCCACCACGTCGCTCCACTACACGAAATAACAAACGGGTCATTCCTGATTTTTTAAAACGATTTGGTGGATCTCAAAATGCAGTACCAAATGCTACTACGGTCCGGTATATCGTCGGACCTCACAACGCATGGGCTACTCTCGTGCCTTCGGATAACCGTGGTTTACCGTCTATTTATCTAACGGAGAAGATGAATTATTTGGGAAATCAACAACAACATAATGAACCTGTATTTAGGGTAATTATTATCTTACTGTTCCCTACTTGTCTTCCAAATCATTATTTCATTGCTATTATTCTTTTAGCGGCTACCGGCTGATCCCAGAATAGATAATATCCACTGTTCTATTTTCAAAGTACGTATTTTGTCTTTTTTTTTTTTTCGCGTTGAATTTTAGAATTGCCAATTTTATATCTGAAAATCTGTCAATCATTTTTATTAGGAACAAGTCGAGGGTATAGGAACGATTGTTAAGTTACAAAATCTTAGGTATATATCTTTTTTTTTTCTCATTTCTTTACGTGTTCTTTATTGCATATAAGTATTTACCGGTATTCATTTACCCAAATTTTATCCTCTATAGTCGAAACGGGGCAGTTAAGGTTTTGGAACGTGAACTAATGTCAAACCAATTTTTTGAGTTAAAAGAGGGTGATTCTATCAAATTTCCTTCTTCAAAAGGCGATTGGTATAGTTACTCTATAGAAATCGATTTAAAACCAGAAGGAAGGTTTCATAATGATTATAGAATTAAAGGTATTCTTGGAACGGGTCATTTTGGGGAAGTAAAGTTGGCTACTCTTGCAAATGCCGTAGGTAATGAGTCAAAGTTTAAAGAATATGCTGTGAAAATCATTGACAAAAATACTGTGTCAAAAAAACCAAACACGAAGCTTCATGACGAAATTATTATAATGCATAAGATAGAACACGTAAATTTTTTTCATAAATATGGTTTATTATTATTTTTACTTATTTATTTTATTTATTTATTATTTTTATTATTTTTAACTGATTAATATTTGATTATTTTATTTAATCAGAAATCTTTAGTTCGTATCCGTAATTTATATAATGAACGTGACAAATTATATCTTGTTATGGATTATATTAAAGATGGTGAATTTTTCGATTTTATATCGAAAAAAAAGAAGTTAACAGAATATGAAACTCGCATCATTTTTAGACAGTTGTTTGAAGCGATGAAGGTATTGTTATATATTTATACGTATATACAATATATATATATATATATATATAATCTAATTGTTTAAATTATCACTAACCTTTTTTATTCAGTATCTGCATGATCATCGCATCGTACACCGAGATCTTAAACCTGAAAATATCCTTATGTCAAACAAGGAGAAACTTGAAGTTAAGATAACGGATTTCGGGTTGTCTAAACTTCTTGGTCCTGAATACTCTTTGATGAAAACAATGTGTGGAACACCTCTTTACATTGCTCCTGAAGTCCTAGATCGATCACCTAGGCGTAGTTACGGAAAAGCTGTTGACATGTGGAGTCTCGGTGTGATCCTATACGTCTGTCTTTGTGGATATCCACCGTTTGCTAAAGACTTTGGTCCACCATCTTTCGAAGAACAAATAAAGTTGGGAATATATCGGTTCTACCCCCCATCGTGGAGTTATATTAGTAATGAGGCAAAAGATTTAATAAAGGGTTTATTGAATGTCAATGTAAGAGATAGATTAACAGCTTCCCAGGCATTAGTGCATCCTTTTATGCAGGTAAAGCCGAATTTAATAGAATTTCATAGAATATATGTATCTGAAAAATTAAAGAAACGATATAGAACTTGGAACCGGGGTTTATTTTTCATATTTTAAAACCGGTTTCAATCGGTTTTAACCCGTGAAAAATAAAACTCCGGCTCCAAACTCCAAAACGATATATAATAATTTACGGATACTTGTAACAAAGTATTAATATTATTTTTCTTATAATATTATTATTGACATTATTATTAACTCTTTTTTTTTTTTTCTTAACACCAGATGCTACCATTACCTCAACCCGTTACTGTAGTTCCAAATGTGAATAATGCTCCAACTTTACCACGAGTGAGTAGCAACGTCCCGCCAAGTGATGAAGTTAAAATAATTTTCGCTCAGAAGCTTTCGGCTCTGTCTAAACGTGCCGAATCTGGTGATGATGTAGATGATTCTAACGATGTCGATACTGCTTCATATGTTACTGCTGATACGATCGTATCATCTAAATATTTCACCCCTCCGGTCCAAGATGAATCCATTTATTATTCGGCCATTGAATTCAATTCTTCAAGTTTCGGTAGCCATAGTAGTGGTGGTAGTTTTACTTTCTGAATGAAAGTATGGCTCGGTTTTTTCTTATTTTTCTACTATAGAACTAAAATAAATGTCTGATGTTTAATGATTATTGCAATTTTTCTTATTTTTAATTCGAACCTAAAATAATTGATTTTGCAATCATTTTTTATAAAAATATGTAAATAAATTTTTGTCAGATATGCGTGTGTTACGTTAGAATAAACAGTTGACTGTTGATTTGTTACACCTGTGATCGTGAATACAAATTCTGAAAATATTTATATGATCTAAAAAATGTCAGATTATCTGATGTCAAAATGAACGAACATATATTATTGCAATCTTCGAAAAAACGGCGCGGAAGACCTCCAACAACGGTCGCAAGCAAAATTCGCTCGACTTTTTCAAATTGTCCCATAGAGCAAACTTATTTTCGAGATTTTTCCGATACTTTTATTCCACAAATAAATTTTCCTGATCTTTGGGCTTCACGAGGTACTAACGACGAAAACGGTGTGGGTACCGTAACCTAATAACTTCTCTGGTGAGTACCTTATTAAGAAAAGTTCTTTTACGTCGCTAACCAACTTTTAAATTTATTATTTTGTCTAAATACAGAAAGCACAACTATTGACCAGGTTAATGAAACGACTGCACCACTTCGTTTAAAGCTGGTCGTACGTGATGGTACCGACGACAAATCCAATATGGTTAGTTAATTTAAATATTTTAAAATATTTTGTATTAGTCATTTCCTACAAATTCCTATAAATTCTTTACTCAACATATACAATATTTTTAAGGCTTCAATGAAGCCACCAAGAAAAAAGAAACCTATTCCGATGGATCATAAAGAAGAGTTGAACCTCTTATTAAAATTGGAAAATATTGAAAGACCTTTATCGCCTAAAACGTATAGGTTAAAAAGAAAATTACATCTCAGAAGGGTATTTAACCAAGAATGATTGTAATTTTACGTGCATTAGAGTTTGAAATTCACCATCTTTTTAATTTAGATAAAACGAGGATTAGGTTTAAAAATTTTTGACATTGACACGGTTGTTTCTGATCAAATGAGATCAAATTCTTCATTAGAATTAATGGCAATGACAGAAGAAAATTCTCATGAACCAAAGAAAAATGAAGTTAAAAATTTTGAAATTAAAACTTCTGACATTGAATTTATGGACCAGATCACTAAAGTATGATTTTTAGCAAATTATCAATTAATGTATTAAGAATTAATGATAAATTTTTTTGCTTTTAACAGATCACGCATACCCCATATAAGAATTCTTTTGCATCAAGACTATTTGGCAATCCTCGTTTAGCAACTACTCTTACAGTAGAAGAGGCTTGGACTAGTCCCCTTCGTAGAAAGTTAAAGCCATATATACGTAGAGATTATGAAACAAAGCCACCAAAACTATGTTTATTACAAGAAATTGTCAAATACGCTTATCGGTGTGCGTTAATGAAAGATATCTCAAAAAATTTTTTGGTTTTCAAACTATTAATTATTTATTGATTATTTTAGCAATGAGCCGGATTGGCTGCCACCACCTTCTAGTCCTATTGATTTCTGTTATTTTCAAAAGGAACATTTGAATCAAGTCAATGATTTACTACAGAGATGTTTTTGGCCAAGTATTGATGGTAAGTGAATTCATATTTTTCATATAATTTTTTAATACAATTATTTTAATATTTCTATTCTTTTTAGTATCTGAAAATCTCCTTTTCCCAGATTTTAGCGTTGTAGCCATGTACAGGCGACTTGTGATAGGATGTGGGTTTATGACACCGGAGGCTTATATCACGTACATCGCTGTTGCACCCGGGTGGGAAAAATCTGGAATAGGACAGTAAGTAGTTATATAACTATTTTTGTTATTAATAAATTTTTCAACATGATAACCAACTAAAATTTGTAACACTATTAGATTTATGTTGTATCACCTGGTTCAGGTTAGATTGGAATATGCATAAAGCTTTGTAATTTTTTTTTGATATATTCACTAATATATGCCGTTATTTATAATTCTAGACAAACATAGGGAAAGATGTAACTCTTCATGTATCAGCAAATAATCCAGCAATGGTATTCGAGACTACTTTATTCAATTCTTTTTTGACGATGAAATTATTATTAATATTATTTTGTTTATTTATGCAGATACTATATCAAAAGTTTGGCTTCAAACCCGAAGAATTTATCGTAAATTTCTATGACAAATATTTGCCTGATGGGAGTTTAGGGTGTAAAAATGCATTTTTTGTACGGTTAAGGAGATAGGCAGCTTAATAACTTAATATTATTGTTAATTTGATGACTTATTATAGTTTGCTTATTTATTAATAAAGTTTTCTCATTCATGCTAAAAAAAGTTTTCAAATATTATTTCGTATTATGCGAAAGAGGTTTTATATCACTCTCTGATTTTTGATAGCAAGCATAATGGAGAAATGATGAGTGAGATTCAGAAAATTTTGTACCTATGCTACAGTATGATTACATCAATTAGATTACCGTTTGCTACTGTTTATAATATCCCCCGAAAATTATTTTTCTACGCACACAAAATATACTGATGAGATTACTGAATTCGTGAATAGTACTAATTTTAAAATGAAGTTCTTGAGTAAAACTTCGGCCTAGAATTTGGAACCAATATTAAACCGGGTTTTAACAAAACTCTAATCTCATGGTAAAAAATTGGCACGTCAGATTCTCGATTTTTGATTGGCTAACGACCGTAATCTGCAAAATTTTTGGCCCGCATTACAAAATTGTTTACTAATTTCCGGCCGGAATTAACTTTTTGATTTTTTTTATAATAGAAATTTTTGAAAAATAAGCCCACACTATGGTAGATTTGCCGGCCTAATTTTTGATCGTCACTCTTAGCCAATCAAAATCGAAAATCTGCCGTAAAATTTTGTTGCGGCAGCTAGGGTAAACAATAAATAATCAATAAAATCAACAATTAATTAAATGGTACTAATCATTGTTAGATACAACCACTAAGTACAAATTTTACGTGATAAATGCACGTCCTAATTATATATTTGACAATTTAGGTTTTATATAGATAAATAACCATTTATCACAAAATTTGACACAGAATTTGTTCATATTATAATTGTTACATTGAATACTAATAGATGGATTGACAGTTTTGATTAACGATATGAAGCTATATTGATCATGCTTTCGGTGCAAGTGCGACTACAGTAAACTGAAGATTATTGGGATCTCTTTGCATGAATTTCTTAATTATTTCGGCGGAGCCCTATTTATTTAATAGCAAGTAAATATTAACAATCATATTGTGTTCCTAAACTTCAAAACGAATAATTAGGGCGTACCTTTAGAAAATTATCACATGGACCATGATTTATAGGAAAAGGTTTACTTCCATCCAACTCGTAGATCGATCCATCTTTTTCGACAAGACATATAAAATGTAAATTTACTCTTTCATCCTCTCCAGGAGCCTATATGTTGAAAAAATATAATTCATATGTAAAGATAATTTAAAAAGTGCTTATTAAGATACGAAATATATACCCTAGTTTGACCCATTCTCGCAGAGGTTTGATGAGCATCAGCCAAACCATTATCTTCCTCAAGACATTTGGCTCGCTCTTCAGGCGTCAAATCTTTGGTTTTATCTAATAAGAGTTTAAGTGGACCATCTTCTAAAATATCGATATGATGATTACGTGTTAATATCACGATAATACACGTGAACATGTATAAAAAAAATACGAAACAATGGAACCTAATTATTACCGATAGGAATAGAATCCCTATTATTAGCTAAAGAATGTACTAATCCAATGGTTCCACACGCGTTACTAATAGTCTGTTTATAAAATAAGACATTGGGTGATATTTCCTGTCCTTTCTCTTTAATACTTTCTATTTGAGCTTTAGTGTAGGTTTCATGAGCTTCTGAAATAGGGAAGAGAAGAAGAAAAGCTTTAACTGGTTGAGGAATCATTAACAGAAGTTCTTCATCCAGGCCTAAGTATCCGTATTAAAATATATAACACTTGTTAGCAATTTATAAAGTCAGTAAAACCATCGGATATTTCCTGGAAACCTACCATAAACATCGGTGTATTCCCATTGCGAAGATAAACCCAGTTTATGAATATACTAGGTAACAAAAACATTTAAATCAAGAAACACATTATTCGAAAAAATTTGCTATAAATATATCACGTTAATACTTACATTGTTCATAACCTAATAACAAAATAATGAGATCTTGTAATATTATCAACAAAAACGAATAAAAAGAAGTAAAATACGTACTTCTGGGTTAGATTCTAAAGGAATCCATCTAGGTTTCTTTTTAGTTTCAGTTTCTGCCATTGTGTTCAAGCGTAAAAACTAATTTCATACGCAGACAAACTTGCCAATTTATCTGTTATTTACGTGACTTACGTACGTACTTACGTATCAGTCGATCGAGATGTCACACCTAATTTTTTATCATATGATCTTCATAAATTGCACAAACTGATGAAATCACGTTTTTAAAATTTTCTCTTAAATTCTTAGATATAACATATAACGTTCCTTAAGACAAATAAGTTGCCAGGGCTTCAACGAATCGAACGGTATTCAAAGACAGGCAATTATTTTGCCTTCTCTCGCATGATTCTTTTGGAGTTTTCTGGATCTTGACGTGAAAAGTAGCTTGTTAGATGCGCACGAGTGAGAACTTTTAGTGAAATGCATCTTCAAAAAGTTGTTACATTAGAAACATTGTGTTGAAAATTAAGAAAAACTGGTTTGTAGTATATAGATCATGAAATTTGCTCATTGCTTTTTTTTTTTTTTTTTTTAGTATAGTAGAAAAATATTACTTCTACGACTCCTTCTAGCATGGTTTTAAAGATATAGATTTGGAATAAATATTGTAATCAACCCAGTAGGAACCAAGACGATTTTTGAGTAATCGCTCGGGCTAACCGAAGAGAAGAAATTTTGCAAGTTTATACCATTTTTTTTTATTTTTATTTATATCTTTGTTGTATTCCAATTATCTTGACCAATACCTAATAAAAATTTATTTCGAGTTATTTAGAAGAAGACATTTTTGGTTCTGATTAACTTACCAACAAACACTTCAAAGAAACTATTTCACCTACAATTTTACAGACGATTAATTTATGACAAGTTTATTTCATAGGCAGTATATTTCACCAACAGCTTATTTCACAGACGAAGTAATTCTTGTTATCATTGTTATGATTAGCTTTAGGATGAAAGGTTAGTGTAGTTTATAAAAAAAACTTGTCTATGAAATAAGATGTTGATGAAATATACCGTCTATGAAATAAACTTATAAATTTATCATCTGTAAAATAAGCTTATTAGTGAAATATAATATAAAATAATACGAACTCACTGCTTTTTAATTTCCTTTACTGGGTGTACTATCAGAATCGAATTTTTTTTGTTTGCATTTGATGCTATGTGAGATGTTTAAAATATGGATTCGTACTAAATTCAAAATAATTTTAAACTTTATTAAATGATTACTTATAGTATTTTAATAAATTAATTTAAGAAATTTTGTAATAATGCTATTTTCAATAAATTAAGATATAATTATGAGTGTGAAAAATTTATTATAATAATATTTGCTTATTACATATATAAAATTAAAAAAAAAAAACCACAGTAAAAACTATCTATATTCCCAAGATTAATATATAGCGAATCGTTAGCTTAGTAATAAACTATAAGCATTATTATCAAAATTTTAATTATTCAACTTGACAAATATACCTGCGTATATACTAACACCCTTGCAGCTTGTAACTACACTTTTTAATAGTAAATTCGCACAACATATATATGTTCTTAACGGGTTTGTTCTCTTTTTTTGCTATATAGGTACTACAAAATTGCAGTTGAGATTTTTAAATACTTCGTAGTTTCAGTAAATTAAAGTCAAAATGAGATTATTAATGTTAAAATACTTATATTATATTAAAAGCTTTCATAAATCAGCGAAAATGGTAAGACCTATCACACTGCAAGTGTTATAGAATGTGGAGCGAAAGGCTATCTTTGTGAGCAAGATTCTTTTTAATTTTACTTTTTTATCTTGCTTTAAACTTACTAATCGCATAATATTTAACTTTCTAAGACGCGCTATATCCCGTGAGTATAGTTTCCTTTTAGGAATCCCCTGAAAACGATGATTGGAAATGGCCAACCGTTGCAATTTATTATGAAAATCGAATTTCTTATATGAGTGTCGATCACTCAAATTTCATAGTAAAAATTTTATTCACCTGATCTGCGTGACATCTCGATCGACTGAACGTAACATTCAAGATGTCACACCTAAAAGTTTATCGGACAGAACCGATGATTTTCTGCGGATGACACAATTTTTGCGAAAACCTACGCATTTTATTTACATAGCGCTTTGCTTTGCAAGATGTGGCCTCTACCGTATTTCTGGGTTCATTGATTATCTACGAAGGGTAGGTTCATTTATTATCCGCATTCCATGAAATGTAGAAAATCGACATCGATATGAAAAGATGTATACTATGTGCTGTATAGTGTTATCGTTATATATCGTTGGCTGCATTTTTTTTGATATGTATGGCCTTGGTCATATCATATATCGATATATATATTTTACTATGATTCTTTCCAGGTACGTAGTCTACAATTAATTGATTGGTAGCGCTGCCTCAATTAATCAATTAATTATAATGTACCGTTACGTAAAATTTGTTTCTCATACAGTAACCCGGCCAGGTCAAATGCAACAAAATTTTGAAGAAATTTTTTTACTATGTTTATTATCCGGGTGAGCTTTTTTAAATTTTTATAAAAAAATTTTATATGTTTTTTACATATAAATTTTTTGAAAATAAAATTAAAAGCCGGGTTGCCAGGCCATTTCTAAAATTTTATATTATGAGAACCAAAAAATTAATTTTATATGGCCTAAATATAATTTTTTTTTTTTTTTTTTTTAACTTAAGCAATCCTGCTTTTATTGTTTAGTACAATATGCATTATACAGAATATCCAAACAAAAAGCCTGCAATAACTAATTGCCTTCAATTATTTGACTTGCTAATAAAAACTCACTTAGCTGCTTTCAAGAGTGCTCAAGTGTGATCTGCCACAGCAATATATACTCCCATTTTCAGTGTCTAACTTGCTAGATAATTATCTATCAAATTACTAATAGCTTATTGCTAACTATGTTAAGATTGTTTTTTTCTTACTATTTTTTTTTTTCAAAAGAGTAGATAAAATAGAAGAAAACTAAAAATGAATAAAAAGAAAACAACCAACAAAGAGAAAAAACAAAAAAAAAAGATATATATATTAAGGTATAATATTAACTAAGTAATCAAAACTATATTATAAGCCAGTGCAAAAACATTTGTACCTCAAATAATTGGAATTAAAAATTTTTTTTACAATTTAATTTTTAATTTTTTTAATTCAATATAATCCTTTGCTATTTGGATTTATAAAAATAAAATGAGGAATGATTTGCGTACATCGATTTCGTGTAACTTCACGTACATCAATTTTTTTGGCAAATAAAATTGCAGGACTAGCACCCGAAATTTTTGGATTTTAGAGATGCAGCAATTTTTATTGGCTAAAAAAATTTGATGTACATGAAATTATATGAAACCGATGCACACAAATCATTCCTCAAATAAAATTTTGTAAATATTTTATTAAAATAAAAAATTTTATTAATTGTAACTTTTTTTAATAATATTTACTATATTTTTTTTTTATTTATTTTTTTTTTTAAATATTAAGGTGACCACTTAGGCTCTT